CCTCTGGTCTGCTGGGGACCGTCTCCAGCAGACCAGGGACACCGGGAGCAAAGGAGGCGGAGGGGCGGTGGGGTATAAGACGAAACCCTGTCTTTTAACTACAAAATTAGGGGGTCGTCTTATACGCCCAGTCGCCTTATACGCCGGAAAATACGGTATTTCAAAATTAGTACATTTGACTTAACTCCCGATTTAACAAAACCGAATGAATGTGTCCACACTATGGGGAAGCCTCGAGATTAGTCTGAGGCAGGCTCTGTTAGTGTGGACGTGTTACCTCAGACTGAGTCCCAGGAAGCACTGGGAAGTCATTAGTTTGAATTACTCTGGGGAGTAGCTATTTTGAAATAGTGGCACCAGAGTATCCACACTACTGTTATTTTGAAATAACTATTTTGGAATTAGGAAAATCAGCAATACAGATTTTGAATTAAGCAGCCCATTATTTTGAAATAATGGGCTTAGTAGTGTGGACACTCCGCTTAGAAATTCGGGGGTTATTTCAAAATAAAGTCCTTGTTTAGACCAGGCTCAAGGTCCAGGAGGGCCTGCAGAGCAAGGTCTCCATTAACTTATTGAAGAAGTCAAGTTAAGTGCTATGTTGCATGTGAGTACGTCCAGCCAAACTACTGTACACAGGACTTTAACCATGAACACATCTAATGTAAAAACGGAATTCATATGTCAGTAAACAAATGAGGCATCCTTTTTCTTTAATGAAGATCAGTTGGGGGGTGTGTGTGTGTGTGTGTGTGTGTGTGTGTGTGTGTGTGTGTGTGTGAAAAAATGCACATTATGCATTAACTCAAAGAGTGTCCCCCAAAGCTGTTATATTTCCTTCTAGTTAATCTGTTGTGATAAAGTTAGGCCAGAGGGCTGCAAGGGAGTGAGAAAAAGCAGCCCTAGCAGAATAAAAGACCCACTCTCTTGTTAAAGTGGATCTTCATGATAGACAACCCCTTGTCATCCGATCCTTAGTCAGCTAAGGACCAGCTGAAAGAGGGCTTCCTTGAACCAATTTAGAGTCAGCCAATTCTGTTCCAGGCATGTCAGAGACCTTTTTAAAGCCCCCTCGCTCCCCCTCCCCAGTTGGATAGAGAGGCAGGCAGGCAGGCAATCAGACACACACACATGCAGTTACTAAGCCAGGGATAGCAGGGGAGTGAGCAGCATCAGAAGGAGAGGCTGAGCTCCCTTTGCCAGGGGAAGACCACAAGCCTAAACTTCAGCTGAGGATGAGGCTAACTGCCTGGAGGGGGCTCATAGGTGGTGCTTTACCTGAAAGCCATCTTGCCAAGGGGAAGGTGTGCGGAGACTGGGAAAGGAAAGAAGGGCCCTTGCCTACCCTTATTGATAAAATTGCAGTTTGAAGCTGCTATTTATATGCATAAATATGAGTCAACAGTTTGGCCTTGTAGACAAGAAGGCTAACTGCATATTGGGGTGCATTAGTAGGAGTATTGCCAGCAGATCTAGGGAAGAGATTATTCACCTTTATATAGAACTGGTGAGAGCACATCTGGAGTAGTGTGTCCAATTCTGGACCCAAAATGACAGAAAGGATGTGGACGCATTGGAGAAAGTCCAGTGGAGGTCAACAAAAATGAGGGGGCTGGAACACGTGACGTACAATGAAAGACTGAGGGATTTGCGTTTATTTAGTCTGCAGAAGAGAAGAGTGAGGGGGCATTTGATAGCAGCCTTCAACTACTTGAAGGGGGGTTCTAAAACGGATGGAGAGAGGCTGTTCTCAGCAGTGACAGATGGCAGAATGAAAAGCAATGGTCTCAAGTTGCAGTGGGGGAAGTCCAGGTTGGATATTAGAAAAAACTAATTTACTAGGAGGACAGTAAAGCACTGGAATGCGTTACCTGGGGAGGTGATGATAACCTCTAGGGATGGAGATTCTAAGTCTTGGCTTGACAAAGCCTTGGCTGGGATGATTTAGTTGGACCATTAAGCAGGTCCATTAAGCAGGGGGTTGGACTCGATGACCTCCTGAGGTCTCTTCCAACCCTATGATTCTATGAAATATACTTGGAAATGGTAACATTTGTTTACACCATTCAAATAGTATACGTATGTGGCATGACTGTGTATAGGACTCCTGCTGTACTATATCAAAAAGGTGACAAATGCAAGAAAGAAAAAAAAACTTATTGGAAAGATTAATGAACCCATGTCTCCTTATTGGTATGAAGAGGGTGGGAGATAACTCTTTGCTCCCATATAATAGACAGCATGATAGTAATGATACAGTGGGCATAGGTAAACAAAATATTTTTATAAAAATAATTAACTCCGTCATGGGTGGTTTTATGAATCTCTGGGTGGGCAAAGAATGACAAACCCAATTATCAATGCTTAAGGGACAACTCATCCGCTGGAAGTCTCTTATCCCCCCACTGAGATGCATACATGAAATCAATCAGTTCAGGGGTCTCAGGACAAAGATACTTTGACGGATAAAAAGGATTGCTTTTCTGTGAGCTCTGGGGTGAGGAGATGCTGAATGAAAGTCAGACTGAAATGGGGCAGAGGCTGGAGAGGTGCAGGCTGGGACAAGAATTACTTGCAAGGTTTAGGTGAGATAACAAAAGCCAATTTGCATGCTGTTTAACCCTTTTCTTCTGTATGTTCCTATGCATGCATTATTTTCATTGCATTTACCAGCTGGTCACAGCTGCCAAGTCTATAGGACTCATGGGTGGTGAATAGGGTGCTATGACCTGAGGACCCCATCTAAAAGTGGGCTTATTTTTGGGGTTCTGCTCTGAGAGCAATAGAGAATAAGCCTGTCCCTTAGCAGTGGTGCTCAGGGAGAGATTGAGTGAAAGGTCTAGGATACAGCCAGTCTTTGCCCGATAACAGGTTTACGAATTTCAGTGATGCACAATGTTTCTGTGCTACATTCTTCATCTTCATGGTCAGTGGCATGAATGATATGCCACCTGAAACTGAATCTGGTGGCTAAAACTCATCTGTGAATTTCAGGCTTGAACTATTGTGCCTTCACTGCTCCTGCCTTCACTGCTCCTGCCTTCACTATGGGGGAAATGCAGCTTTTTATCTCCCTCTTCCAGCATTTAGCACACTTCTGGTTTTTCAGTTCCCCGTTGCATTCCTAAATCATACAAAAGTGACAAGGAGTCCTGACATGCATCTGACAAAGTGGGTCTTTGCCCACGGAAGCTTATGCTCCAATACATCTGTTAGTCTATAAGGTGCTACAGGACTCCTTGTCACTTTTGCAGATCCAGACTAACACGGCTACCCCTCTGATACTAAATCATACAGTGTTGCTGTCACAAACTTTTCCCTAAATACATACAGTCTTGCCAATAACTAAACTCCCAACTCGTTCTCCCACTAGAATGAAGGCTTAAACATGTGACATTTTCTAAAGCTTGTGGTAAAGTTCAAAAGTGGGTGTCATGCTTACCAAATTCATCCACTCGGAAATAATGCTCTCCTTGAATGACTTTGTAGATGACAGTGGCATGACCTGCAACTGTAGGATCATCAGCATCCACTGCGGTCACTTTCGTGACTGAAGTTCCTAGAGAAGGAATTATCAAATGATACATTTATTAAAATCCCTTTTTTAATCAAAAACACGAGGAGAAATGAGTAATCAAAGAACTTACCTACTGGTGACATTTCTGGGACAGAACCATTGAATGATTTTTGTACAAACACAGGAACGTTGTCGTTAACATCAAAAACTTTGATGATAAAAGTGGATGGCTTTTCCAGTGATTTGTTGGTTGTTCTGTCAATACAAAACGCTGTCAGCTTATATTCTGATTTCTTTTCTCGGTCCAGCTTCTCATACGCATACACGTCTCCAGTGTTTTCATGGACTTTAAAGATGGTGTTGGCATATTCCCCCTCAAGAACATACTTAGCATTCTTATTCCCTGCACTTGACGTGACCTAGAAAGTATAATTCAAGGAGTTAAAAGCGAGCTTTCGAATCTGAAAGCAGAACACTTTCTGCATGGAGATATACATACTGTTCACACAGATTAAATTATGCAATTCAGCAACTAATTAAAGCCATTACCTTGGCTCACCTGGAAATAACTTGCACCAAATCTAACATTAATCAAGTAATTTCTGCCTCAATCTCCCTTTAAAGTATGGACAGTTACCCAATCTGCATTCAAAAAGGTAAGGTTTTTATACATGAACAAATTGTTCATGTGGGTTTTTGAGGATATTTGACTTCTATATCACCTTTCCACTGTAACCACTTCCTAGGTACTCTGTTCATAAGTTAGAGCCAACTATTAGCAATATATATTTTTCTACCGAAGATGGTCTGAGTTGTCAGACCTAAATGCCAGTTTTGTTTCTCCAATAACGTTGTTTTATCTCAAGATTTTGAAAAGTGACTAATGACTCTGACATCCAGGAAGTGCCCAGTGCCTTCTGAAAACCAGGTCTTCTTTCATAAGGTTTCCTAAACTGTCATCCAAAATCACCTGTTAATTTTGAAGATATGGGCCTTAATGGTTAAAGTTTCTTGGTTTTAATGCCATTTTTGTAATCCTTATCCAAAAGTTGAACACTGGGGCAAGGTGTGAGGGACAGCTCCCGCTCCCCTTCCAGGGTGTGGTCTCGGATGGAAGGGGCAGGGCCTTGGGCAATCAGTCCTCAGTGTCATCTAGACTATAACATGTGCCTGCCCCCTCAGCCTTCAAAGCCATGTGGAGGGGCGCTCCTGTGCTCTGGTGGCAAATGGGTCCCGGGCTCTGGCTGCTGCTGCTGCTGCAGTAGCAGTGGCAGTCAGGAGCTCCCAGGCCCCTTTGATTCTCCGGGTTGCAGGGCAACTACCCCATTACTTCCCCCCATGTCAGCGGGCCTGGTTCAACAGTGCATGCATGTGATATTTCAACAGAATTAACAAATTAACTTGATGAAACAGTTGAGGATTTTTATAATGAATTCTGTAAAGGAAAACTTATGCAAGCACTCCCTTTGGGATTGCTATGATCATCAGGCAGGTGTTCCACTTATCACAGATCATGAATGATGGGATGAAATCCTGATCTCACTGAAATCAATGGCAAAATTCCCATTGACTTCTGTGGGATCAGGCATTCGCCCATGAAATACAGGAGATTTAAACCACTTTAAAATAACATTTTTATTGTATCTTTGTGCTCCTTTTCAATTTATTACAGTTGCATACTCATGAGCAGTTCCTGTAATTAACCAAGAATTTCCAGTCTCATATTTCTGATGTTACAAGAGGTTTAAGTTGCTTTTGTGTTTAGAGTTTCTACTTTATCATACTGATGTTAAACAGGTTTTTTTGTTTATGCCTACTCTTTTTTTTTTTTATAAAATATCATCGAATTTTCTTCAATGATTCCACATTTTACATGACATTTTGTGGTGTGCTCATCCTGGTGTTGCTGAGGGGTGACACAGAACTTCTAAGAAACAACTTAGGGTGTCTTGAATTGCGTTGGTTGATAGTAACCCCCAAAGGTCATTCTAGCAGCCAAAGCTTCTCCAATTGTAGGGGTGTTCAAGCACGTTCTCTGGGTTAGGAACCACACCAGTGTGGCCCAGAACCTTTAAAGTGGCTCTGCACCATGCATACATTTCCTTACCCAAGCAAGGTGCTTATGATAGCTTTAAAACTATTTCAATTAAAAAAACCTTAAATATGTAGATTCTATGCAGGCATTTGTATATTTCAACACTTTCCTTATAAGTTAATTTTGTGATTGAGCTTGGGAAGAAAGTTCTCTCCATTGAAGGGCTTCCTCACTTAGTAAAGAGGTCTTAGACCTAGATGCCATGATTAATTTGATATTAAAACCTATCTAAAGAGGGGGAGAGATTGTAAATTTTGGGGGTGGGTTTAACACTTCAACTTTTCCTTTATTTTTTAGGATAAATCATGACCCAATTAGTGGAAAGAGCTTGTTAGATTGGCTGGTCCATCCCCAAGGGACTAGTGCTGGATTGTTCCCTGGTTTGTAGCTTGTTTTAAATGTCTGAAAAATTAGGCTTCCTCCATATTTTTGTGGGTGTTTTCTAGCTCCTAAGCAGATTCCTGAATGTTTCTTCACAGGAGAAGTGCTTCTCCATTGAGGACTGAGGGATTTGGGTTTTTTTTTTTGCTTTGGATCAGCCCTTTCCCTTTATTATTCTCAAAGGAAGTGCTCTCTCTTGATATTTTTGCAGGTGACTGAAAAGACAGTCACACAGGGTTTTGACTAGTATCCTATTACCATATACATTCCTACAATAACCGAGCTGCAAAGAACAGAAGATCATTTGTTTTACTATGTGATTTATTTTATTATTATACTTGGTGAGGTGACTAATTTTCCTATTCCCACTCCACTCTTGTCCTATTAACACTTGGAAAAACCTCTTATCCCATATTCAAAGGTAGAAACATATGCCGTGCTTTCTCTCTCAATCTCTATTTTACTGGTTCAATCAATGTAAAGGACAGGGACTTCCAAAATTACCTTTGCTAAAATTGTGGGCATGAACCTGTAGGGAAGCATCCTGGGTCTTGAGTAATAAATTCTGTAACTCAATTCTACATGTTGCTGCTGTGGCCTTTATTTAAAAGCTTATCCAGTGTTCAATCCCGGCAATGCAATGCATTGAAAGCAGACTTTGCAAAAGTAATCAAAAACATTCCACTGCTGGAAGACCACAGAGCACCATACAAAGTGAATTATTCTCCTTTATAGGACAGCACCAGGAATAGAGGTGTTCTCAATCTCCTATTGAATTGGCCCAAAATGAAACAGAAATGCCCCGTATTAGCTGAGAATACCCTATGGCCTCTTTCTGTCTCTTGCTTTCTGCCAGTAAACAGTGCTGATCGAGAAAAGTCTGTTTCACTTTACCAAGGCAGACTGACATATGCTGACTGTAATACATAGGGAAAAAATGTACAGCTGCATTTATCAAGAAAAATGTTAAACTTGTTCAGATTGAAGGACTACATTCGCAGGACTTTGCCAGGGAGATGAGCAGTTAATCATAGGTTTTTATGAGCAATGCCCCATAGAAAAAGAGCTTGCAAGTAGGTCAATGCTCATTTTTTAGCAATTAATTTTTTTTACTAAATTTTGGGGAAAAAAGTGAAGATTACAACTTTTCCAAATTCATCCCTGCTTGCTTCAGTCTAAGCTGAGAATGGAGGGCTTTATTTAAAAGAAGCCAATTCAAACAGGTCAGTACTATAACTGCATCAAAGGTTGTATTGTCAGCCCTCTGAGCGCTGGTATAACTCCTCTGCCTTTTAAAGTCAATGGTAAACCTTTACCTAAATATATCAGAGGGGTAGCCGTGTTAGTCTGAATCTGCAGAAGCGATGAGGAGTCCTGTGGCACCTTATAGACTAACTGAAGTGTAGGAGCATAAGCTTATGCTCCTACACTTCAGTTAGTCTATAAGGTGCCACAGGACTCCTCATCGCTTTTACCTAAATATAACAAGCATGTCAGGTTTAGCTGCCAAATTTTCATGGTTCTAGTTTGATAGCTTGATGAATAAAAGGATAAAACAAAATACAAAAACTGACAACCTGTTTGAGATTAGCCATGAACACAGAATGACTGGAGAATGGCTGACAGGTTAGAATTGTATCCCTTTAGTATATTTAATTCATCTAGTGTTCATGAAACATTTATATGTCATGGTGACTGATTTTTCTTATTACAGAGACTTGCAGTCATCACAGTTGTTTAATTAGAATATGCAGATTTGGCACACACACAGAAATAAGTTGATTGAGTGCTGATAATGACACTAATCTAAATACAGTATAATTGAGGCAGCCTATGTGGTCAGGACTTAAATTCTTCTGAGACTATTAGAAGTTGAAGCTCTATTAATATGTTTTAGAAAGGAAGCTTTCTCCTGGATTTACAGTTATGTTGTAAATCTGACCTATGAATTTGAAGTTAGGACCTATAAATAGAAATTATAAAGTAATAAACAGAACACTTTTCAGATTTGCTAGAATTGTATTTTGGGACGAATACAATGCCCACTGAAATCAATGGAAAGACTCCTATTGATTTCACTGAGCTTTGAATCAGGTGCTTGGTGAGGGTAAAGTTTATTAATAAAAACTCATTAGTTTCTAAATTCAGATTTATTTACACCATTCCTTAGTGATGTTGATTCATTAGCTGTTTATAATTCACGTGTGCATAAATAACAAATCATCATTAAATGAGCGCACGACACAAAAGTTCTGTTTTTGCATCAAACATGCTCTGCACATCTTGACTTTTGGCAGAATTAAAAAAGATGTGCACAAATAAAGCATCTCATTCAAATTACTCTTCATTTTTAAAATCTGCACAGATTTGTATCTACAGTTATAATGAAATGCAGATACACAAACCTACAATTACACATATTAAGTATATCAGAACTTTATTGTCATTTTAAAAATGAAGCACAGGTTCAGTAATTTCAATGCGTTTTTTTTAAGGGGGCAACTGTAGTATAATTAGAATATGCTCTTCTGCTGCACAGTGAACAGATTAAATCTGTTTTCAGAAAACATGGTTTCTTAAAATATATTGTGTTGCTTGTTGGTGGATCAACTGTTGCATCAAAATGCTCTGTAGGATAACATTTTTTGTAACTGCTACATAAATTTATCAAAATTATAGATGATAATTGTAGCAGAATTAACTCTGGTGCATCAGAGTTGAGAGTAAATAAGATTAGCGTGGTTTGATACTTAAATAGATTGAGTGAATTTGTGTGTGTGAGGGTGTGTGAGAGAGAGGACTTATTTATAGGGTTGTAAAACGATCCATACTTACCATAGGTATTTATAGCTAACTCTAAAATACCCTAAGCAAACAAACACAATTGTAAGGTTAGTTCCTAATATTCCCTAAATAATCTAATGCACACCTTCTGGGGGTTGAGAAGAAACATCTGTATCTAGAGAAAGAGACTAACATGCTAAACTACCTAATACATTTCTTTATTGTCTATAGAATTAACAGTTTCTCTGGTAATCAAGTTTTATCTCTGCAATTGAACCAACCACAACCACTTCCTTGCGCTAACATTCCCTCTGCAAGAGAATACTAGCTATAATTTATGAATATTGTAACACAGGCATAAGTTAATTACTCAATACATTTATTTCAAACTAAGGAACATGAGTCAGATCCTTAGCTGGATCAAACTATTGTAACTGCACTGAAGTTAATAGAGCTGGGCCAGTTTACACAGTAGACAATCAGTGCAACTCAACTCCCACTACACTTGTGTGCCACCAAAATTCTCCCCAGTTGTACAGATGCCCTACCAATCTTATTTATATTTTACAAATGAAGTAGATTTTTTTGGACTACTGTAAATTTTCAAATTGTTACCAATATCCCAATCCTGTACTTTGGCATCAAAACCACATTACAAATCGTCTTTCTTCTATCGCGTCTACAATGTCAAAAAGTAGCACTGTTCTTCATGCTCTTGCATGGTATTAATTGACCCTAGTGAATAGCTGCTGACTGATTGCTAATAAAATTATTTACCTTGCCAACATAATGTGGTAATGGTACGTTATTCTCTTCCAAGATATACATTTGATTCCAAATCCAGTCTCTCTTAAGTCGTTTATGAATGTTATTGTTTGGTGAAAGATTTAGCTTTCTCTTGAAATCTTCTTTATAAGCAGAGGCTGGAGCCAAGATCAGGAAGAAAAGGATAATAAACTTTTTCATCTTCCTTTGCAACCTAGAAAACATTGTAAAATATGAATACTGGGGAATACAGGATAGAGATTTCTTATGCAATGGTAAATTGATGCTAGAGATGGACAAACTCATGAAGGCTCAGCTCAGCATCTAAGCCAATAAATCTATAGACAACAATATCTGTCATGATTAACGTCTCAGAAGTTATTGGTTTTACCCTAACAAAGTTGAGAGGAGTATCAGGTTAATTAATTACAGTAAAGTGAAAGCTGATCAAAAACAGAATTTCCATCCCTTGAAAATTCTAATATTTTGCTATTCATTTTTTATCCATATTAGAGAAAAATATGAAATAGCAAAACTTTTCATGGGAGAAAAAGCGATTCCCCTTTGAGAAAGCTGCTCTGGTTTGTTGATCTAAAGGCTCCACAGCCACTGAGCTTTGAGGCTCCCATTGGCTCCAGTTCGCTGTTTCCAGTCAAGGGGAGCTATGGGAAGCCTTGAGATAAACAAACCTCTACAGCCCACTTGAAAAACACTGCATTAGAATATTGGATTCTGTTCATAATGACATTTCAACGTTAGTGATATATACCTTGATAGTATTCATCACCATACACTTTTTGACAGGTCTTAATGCCCTTTTTAGGGCTTCTTTTATATCCCACCCTCATCTCCATTTCTGTTTGTGTCAAGGTTTCGTGCCATTAGTAATTTCGAAAGAAAATGAAACACTGTTTTGAATTTAGCTAGGGGAGTGTGGTATGTTGGTGCTTTGACATGGGTATAGAGAAAAAGTATGAAAGAACAGAAGTTGGTTATGAAAGATTTTGGTTAGGTTTAGCCATTGGCAGTTTGGAAAGAAAAACGTTTATTTTTATGCTTTGGAAGGGGGAATGTTTTGAGACAAGTTTAGAGAAAAAGTATGAAAGAAAGTCCTTAAAGAAAATAATTTTTTTAAAGATTTTTTTTGTTAGATTTAGAGAAAAGAATTAAATAATAGAGGAATATTCTGGCTGTTGATTTTTACCTTGTTTTTCCTCATCTTTACAACAAACTCCGCTATAAATAGAAGCAAAATATTTCTAATCTTTAATGCTTTTCTAAATGCTTTCCTTTTAATTCCCACATTATCATAGGCTTCCATACCTATAAAACAAACTCCACTTCCACGAAACACGGAACTTTCTTCTATTCTTTAAAGCTTTTCTATCTTTTAATTTTTTTTTTAATTCTTTTTACATTCCACATTACCACAGGGTTACTGATCTTCACAACAAATGCCACTGTCACTAAACTCAGAGGCTACATCTACACTGGCATGATTTTGCGCAAATACTTTTAACGGAAAAACTTTTCCGTTAAAAGTATTTGCGCAAAATCATGCCAGTGTAGATGTAGCCTCTGAGTTTAGTGACAGTGGCATTTGTTGTGAAGATCAGTAACCCTGTGGTAATGTGGAATGTAAAAAGAATTAAAAAAAAAATTAAAAGATAGAAAAGCTTTAAAGAATAGAAGAAAGTTCCGTGTTTCGTGGAAGTGGAGTTTGTTTTATAGGTATGGAAGCCTATGATAATGTGGGAATTAAAAGGAAAGCATTTAGAAAAGCATTAAAGATTAGAAATATTTTGCTTCTATTTATAGCGGAGTTTGTTGTAAAGATGAGGAAAAACAAGGTAAAAATCACTTTAGGAGCATTTAAAAAGATTTGAAATATTAAATATAAAGGTAGGTTAAGAAAAGTGCACTTGAAAGAGTTATTTTGAAATATTAAAAGAGAGAAAATGAAAAACACATTTAAAGAAGGGAAAAGATAACTCTTTGCAAATGGCAAAGATAGGCAGCATGTGCCTGTCTCCTGCTCCCTCCCATGCCCTTCCTTCCTCACTGATCCTGCATAACAGTTGTGTTTCAATTATAAAAAATGAACATGAAGAAACACTCCAAAGTTAAAACCATAAACCCTTAGTTTAGAATCCCCTTATTCTGTAATCCAGTGGTTTAGAGAAAAAAATATTTCCCTCTTCCCTTTCTAACAAATGTATGTGAAAGTTATATTAAACTTTTATTTTCTTTGGACTTTTAGGTTGTAGTATGACTTTTTTTGTTGCATTATTAGAGCATTTTTTGTTTCTAAATGCTTGCATCCTGTGTGCTGAGACACAGGTACAAACTCCTGTCCATAGATTTTATTAAAATAATGCATCACAGGCGGCAGCTGTGGCTTTTTTTACATTTTAAAAACAGACAAGACTAATTAGGCTAGTCAGTGATCAATGCACTGTAGTCTGCCTTAGCAATGCTGCAGGGGTCATCTCTTCAGTTCACTTATTTTTGTTTATACAGGCTTCTTTTTTAACTTTTAAAATGTTGTTAAAGATTTAACAAAGGCTGAGATGGCATTGAAAGACACTTCGTGAAAGTTTTACTATTTGTAAAAGACAACCCCCCCACTTCGATCTGAGGAAGTGGGTCTGGCCCACGAAAGCTCATCATCTAATAAACCATCTTGTTAGTCTTTAAAGTGCTACATTGTCCTGCATTTTGCTTCAGCTACCCCAGACTAACACGGCTACATCTCTATCACTATTCCCCCCCGCTTTGTGACTGCATGAAGTTCAGAGAGAGCCTTTCTGAAGAACTACAACCTCTTCCTTGTCCTGATTTTCTCCTATGTGATTAACACTTGCTAAACATGCAGGCTACATCTAGCCTGGCATGATTTTCCGCAAATGCTTTTAACGGAAAAGTTTTTTGTTAAAAGCATTTGCGGGAAAGAGCGTCTAGATTGGCACGGACGCTTTTCCCCAAAAGCACTTTTTGCGGAAAAGCGTCCGTGCCAATCTAGATGCGCTTTTGTGCAAAAAAGCCCTGATCGCCATTTTCGTGATCGGAGCTTTTTTGTGCAAAACAAATCTGAGCTGTCTACACTGACCCTTTTGCGCAAAAGCTTTGCGCAAAAGGAGTTTTGCCCGAACAGGAGCAGCATAGCATTTCTGCAAGAAGCACTGATTTCAGACAGTAGGAAGTCAGTGTTCTTGCGGAAATTCAAGCGGCCAGTGTAGACAGCTGGCAAATTTTTCCGTAAAAGCAGCTGCTTTTGCGGAAAAACTTGCCAGTCTAGACACAGCCACAGTGTTTCATTATATATATTAAATAAAGGCCTTTAAAAAACATTTATCAGGAAAACACTGCATTGCCTGAGATAAAACATAACAATACCTTTTTTAGAATAGTCTGTTTGCAGTAAGGACTATTTGAAGCATTATATTTGTTGGGTTATTGTATCATGCAAGCAAGGTACTAACAAGCTTCAAAGGGACTAATTTTACCAAAAGTGAAACCTCTTTACAAAACTTCTATATCACTTTGTAGCTCTCACTCAGGCCCCCATCTTTTCTCCCCTCCTTCCTGTTTCCTGTTCCTATGCTTCCAGACTCCCAACATCCATTGCTCTCAAGTCTAATAATTACAAGCAGTATTACATCTAAAGCACCACAGTGTAGCATGAAAAAATAGTACTGACTGAGCTATAACAAAACAAGACTCCCTCTTAGGGATAATTTGTGGCAGTTTAGTGAACTAGAAAGGCTTAAGATAATAGTTTATCCTTGTAAAATAGTGTTTTAAAAATATCAGAACAAGATTTGGGTACACTCAGGAAAAAATGGTACACTTGAATGTCCCTAATCTAGTGTCTGTGATCCAGGAACACTCATGCTTTGGATCCTGGCAAGGGAAGGAGAAAGTGGCTCTGTGCACAGCTGATCCTCCATCCCTCCAACTAGGGAAATGGCAGCATAGGGAAGTACTTGTCTGAAGGCTTTTCCCTGCTGTTTCCATAGCAACAGGTGGTGATGCCTGGGAACAGCAGTGTGTGCAGAGCCATATGTGCCTCTGGAAGCAGGTGCCAAGTAAATGCCCCACCCCTGTTCACTTCACACCCAGACCACACACCTCGAGCTCCAGCTTCATGCACCTTCCCTCTCCCTCTGCCCCCTCATGCCCAGCGCACTCCTGCACCATCCTTCCCTCCCAGAACCTGAACCCCCACACCCAGCACGTTACTGCACTTTTCTCCCTCATAGACCCCATGGCTGTGTCTAGACTGCATCCCTTTTACGGAAAAGGGATGAAATTAGACACATTACAATTGCAAATGAAGCGGGGATTTAAATCCCCCCCACTTCATTTGCATAAATATGGCTGCCGCTTTTTTCTGGCTCGGAGATTTGCCAAAAAAAAGCACCAGTCTAGACTGGGATCTTTCGGAAAATAAAGCCTTTTCTGAAAGATCCCTTATTCCTCTTAAAAAAAGGAATAAGGGATCTTTCGGAAAAGGCTTTACTTTCCGAAAGATCCCCGTCTAGACTGGCGATTTTTTCCGGCAAGCTCCGAGCCGGAAAAAAGCGGTAGCCATATTTATGCAAATGAAGCGGGGGGATTTAAATCCCTGCTTCATTTGCAATTGCGATGTGTCTAATTTGCATCCCTTTTACGGAAAAGGGATGCAGTCTAGACATAGCCCATATGTATTGCTGTCTGTTACATGTTAAATAAAAATTCAGGACTTGGAAAAATGTTTTTATTTTCACCTTCATAACAAAAAGTATACATGAATACCCATAGTCTAGAAAATTCCATAATCTGGCATAGCCTATTCCCCAAGGAGTTCAGGATTAAAGAGGTTTAAGTGCTATTGATGGGAGTTTACATAAGTATTTTAACAATCCCCAGATTAACTTTTTTATTAGATTGCTCCTCAAACATATACATCAGAATATCTTTTGCACAAGGCTTGACAAGTTTGTCTGCAATTGTATGGGCTTCTCCAGCAAGTGCAATATGGTAGCTCACCTAGTACGATGCTTTGATTTAGCGATTCCATCACTGAGAGTTTACTGTTTGAAAGTGTGTCAAGATTTCGCTTGAAAAAACGTATGCCTTTGTCTTTGTGTTCAGAATGATTTGTTTCTAAAAGCCTTCAAAGTTTAGCAGGTATGCGAAATATTAGGAAGTACTTTGTGGCACACCGCACAC